TTTTAAATAATAAAATATTCAGTATATTTCCAGACAAACAAAAGTAGTGATTTAGAAGTATCATTTAAAATGTAAAATGAACAGTAAGAAGTTAAAAATTTATTTATAACCTCTTCCATTACTAACATTCTCTATGCATAAAATCTAGAGGAAAAATTATTTATCTGTATATATTTATTTTACAAAAGGTAGTGTATGTTAAATAGAAAGTTAAAATTTGTAGTATTATTAATAGCTGTCACACCATTGCTAAATTAGACTCTTTAAAGTAGCTTTATTTTTTGAAGCAGTAGTAGGTAAAAGTGAAGAATATGTTAGCACAGTGAACTCATCCAACACTAGTGCCTTCCCAAAAGAATCTTTCATCTTTCAACATCTCATTTCAAAATAGAACTGAAACAATCCAAAGGCAATACAGGTATCAGGATGAAATGTTAGGATTCGGACAGATATGATTATTTTAACAAACACCAGACATTTTTATTGTTTTTTTCTAAGTAGGTACCATTTTTTTAAGAGTGTGTGCAGAAAAGGTAACAAAGAGAACATACAATCCAGAGCAGCATTTCTAAAGCTTAGGAGTCTACCAATTTTAGGGTTTTTTCTTTTCCTTTTTTTTTTCCCCCAGACAGGCCAACCATTCTGAGCTGGCTTGCACTCAGTGAAACCCCACTGAGCGCTCACTAGAGAAATGCATCCACGCTGCCTAATTTTAACTTTTTTTTTTCCTCCTCTCCACAAATTTCAGTTCTCTGTACGATCCATGAGATGTCTGTGCATGGGAGCAGTGTCAAGCTCATCATTTAGAAAGTACCGTCCTTCTTAACTGCTGCTCCATTTCTGCTTAGCAAAGAAATCTTTCTCCTCTCCTGCAAACAGCCGGAACGCTGAGCCAGAGCCGAGGAAGCATCACCCAGCGCTGACTCAGCGCAAATGCCTCTATGAGAAGTGCCCTTTCCCAGCTACAGCTGCTGGAGATCCTGGGGCTGGTGAGAAGTCAACGGGCAGATGCCCAGAGGCTTCCCAGAATCTTTAAAGGAGCTCTGCAGCACCCAGGTCTGCAGAACGCACTGGCACAGGCGGTCCCTTGCTACGTGACAGGCTATGTTCGTCGATGAGACGGGAAAAGCTCACGGTGCTGAGGGTGGCGTGTGGCCAAGCGCGCAGAACAGAAACTGCAGCACCTCTGCCAAGCCAGCCCGCCCCGAAGAGGGTTCCTGCCCGGACGAATGGAGACCCATGCTCTCCGAGCACCGTCTCTGTAGGGATGCTGTGGGGAACTGTAGGACACGTGGCGCCTGCTGAGGATGACGTCCCTTTTCAAGTCCCTGCGCTGGCAGCCCCTTGGATCTCTTGGCCTTGGGCATCACTAGGTCTTATGGCTACTTTAGGACTAAGGGTTGCCTGAAGCTGCTTCATGTGTTCGCTCCCACGACTTGCAAAACATATGCACGCTAAGCAGGAAACAAATATTACACGTGATCAGATTGGGAAAATTATTTTTTCCACTGCAGTCTAAAGAATGCTTTACATAGCAGGTTTTCATGACACCATAGAGAGGAAGAAAATAAATCCAGTTGAAAATAATGGATAAAATGTAAACTATGCCTATACAAATGTCCTTCCTTTTCAAGGTTCACTTTCAACATTCCTTGTGAACGTAAGGGAATTTCAGCTGGGCACAATGAAAATTCCTCGCATACCACGTGCACGTTTTCTGGATGAAACAGCTATTTTCCCACACACAATGTTATTAACGTACTCACGCTGCTTGGAAATAATCGATTCACAGTATTGCTTCATTTTAGAGTCTTTAAAAGAAATCTGAAGGGAAATATATGCTTTGTAATTGCATAAACATGTAATTTCCGAAACGCTGGACAAATAACCAGGGAAAGGTAAAAAAAGTGTGGTTAGAATTTGAAAATTATACATAAGGATTTTAACATTACTGAATCTGCTGCAAAAAGTCATGCACATGCTCTGTTTGTAGGAGAAAATTTAAAAACAACTCCCAAACCCGATGATGAGGTATAACAGCATCTTCCAGTATATCTTTGAGTCAAATTATTTGATTTTTTTCATTTTTTAAAGAAGCCTGGTATAAGAAGCTTTACTTAAGCAGTTTGGAACATTCTATTCTGAGGCTATATTTTTTTTCCCCCTATTTTTATGAGCATCTCTGACGCACAATACATTGAAAACTAATATGAACTAATTTGTCTTTAATATCTCCCATATTAAGCACTATAGGAAGCAGAGTCCTTCTGCAATCGCTGAGGAAATTCCTTGTGAATTACAGGCTGCTTTCTCATTTAAGGTCATGTGCTGAGGGAACACAGCTCCCTAAATAGTGAGGCTTTTGTTGGGCTATTCATCTCCTGCAGCAGCTCTTCTAAAAAACATGGTCAAAGGCAGAGGGAAACAAGTACCGAGCAAAGCCAGAGTTTCTCATGGATAGATTCCATCCCTCGAAACAAAGCCTCCTCCAAAGGATCCTGCTCTGTATAAGCTCCCCATGGGCCTTCTAAAAGCCTTGACCTGTCACATTAGCAGCAGCTTATTCTTTTTAACTAGCCTCCTCCACAATAAAGCAAAGCCATGAGGGAGATGCAAGAAAACCTTTTTTTACTTAGTTTTATTTTTTTTTCTTTAATTTTTTTTTTAACCTCAGGACAGCAAGCAGCTTACAGTGCAAGTTGTCCTGCAAGCCTGCTCTATTAGACAGAGCATTTTAAACCTTCAGGCAGGTGTCTGACAAGGAAATACTGGCTGCACCCCTCCGCAGGCAGCACTGTACCATCAGCTAAGCACTACAGAAGAAAAGTAGCAGCAGCGTGATGTGTCTGGACCATGGATGTTACAGCTCAAATCTTTCTTTCACCAAGAACCCAGCTCCACTGTCCCTCACTCACATAATTTAACTCCCTCTAACAGTGAAAAGCAATTCGTAAAGAAAAAACATAGCTGTTGCTTCAGTAAACGCTTCAAAGGCCACTACGGGAAATACAGTCCGAAGAATCTATTTTTGTTAAAAAAATATAATCACACTGTTCAAAAAAATATAATCACATCTTTTGTTATATACTCAGATATGGTCCCCTGACCTCGTAAATTTTTTGTTTGTTTGTTTGTTCTGTGAAGTGAAACAGATAAGCAGAGACTTTGTTTCCTACTCACTTAAAAATATTAATGAATTGTGACAAGGACAATAGCAGGTAAACCTTTATAAATCTTTTCTCTTTATCCCACTGAAACAAAATGTTTGGAATCTGTTAATTTACATAGGCAGAAAATGGTTCTAGGTGTTTTAGAAGAAAATGAAAGTTTAAAGTATACTTGACTTAACAGATTATAGAATTAATTTATACTTAAGACATTACAATTAAGCTATCACTAAAATCAGGGTCTGTGTCAGGAAAACCCTTTTCTTTAAATGAGATGCTCTTACTTCCATGGTAGAAAGCTCAGGGTTTACTTTGAAAGACTGCTTTAGAAACATTTAATAGTCCAGTTTACATTTTTTTAAAAAAAACAAACCCTAAAATCTAAAGCTTTAATGACAATTTAACGGAAGGCCCTTTGTCTCTGTATTAGTTTTCTCAATCCCACTTGATCCATCACTAAGAAACTGTGAACACTCACATAACATCTATCATTTTTTCTGCATCCTGCCTTAGCTTCACATGTATACTCAGATTTACAGAAAAAATCCAGAACAGGAAATACAAATATGTTCTAATTCCTAAAAACCGCATATAGAGGTCTTGTTTTGTTTCTGTAACCCTTATCTATGACAAGTACAGACCAATATTTAGTATCAGCAATTACTGTTGCTAAAATGATACACTGCACACTGTCTTCTGCGATGGTTTTTCTTTTTGCCAGCAAGATTTTAGTGCATTAGAAGTTGATCAGATCTTCGCAGCGTTCTGGCAGCTTAATGTTAGGAAATCAGGCTGTTGTCTGACTCTTCCAACTAGCATTTAACAATAACACATCTTCTACCACTACAGCCAGTTTCAGGGGTAAAAAAATGCTTCTGCTTGACGCTGTAGCTCAAATTCTGCTTTCAGATAAGCTTATATTGGTCCCACTGTGTTGAGAAGAGTTTTTGCCCATTTCTGAAGGCAGAATTTGATCTCACATTTATGAAGTCAATTAATGTGTTCTCTTGAGAAAGATAGTCCTGTTTTCCTCACCTTCTTCCAAATTGCAGCTTCTTTTTCACATCATACTGGACATATTTCTCAATGCACAGTCACAAAAACTAAGTGGTTATGTAAGAATTCAGAAAGGCTAATCCTGTCAACTGATTTACATAGAAAAAAGAACACGTGTAAAATCAGATTTATGTCTGACATCACACTAAAAGAACAAAGCCCTTATTTGGCAAAACACTGACATGTAGCTAGCAAACCAAACACAGCTCTGGTGTAATTTATCTTTTTGCAGTAGAGTTGATGCTGCTGACTCCAAAGGTGAAGTCAGCTGGCAGTGATCATCATGTAGACTGTGCTGTTGGACAGAGAAATTCTCTTGTTCTCTGCAGCCACTCAGTTTTCAAACACCTTAGAGTCTGTACAAAATTTTTTATGTTGAAACAAGTAAAAAAGCTAATAATTACACTTCAGCAGATATAAATTATTTTTAAGTGACATCACACATATATAAAACACTATACATATAATTTACCTCTGTGTGTGTGTGCACACATCTGTGTGTATACACACAACTACGCACCCGCAGCAGTTACTAAGCACTCATTGAATCCAGTCATTTTTATTAAGGAGAAAAAGCTAAGAGGCTAAAGCAGACAAATTAGTGGAATCTGTCAACTGAGAGAACTATAAAAGTACCATTGACTCTGTTTAAGAGCGTTTCAATAGTTTCGTCTATTGCTATAATATACAGCAATGTTAATATTTCAGTCACAGCTTTTGTCCATTCTCACAGAGCACATCAGTACTAGCTACATGTAGAGTGAGATCAGTGCTTTGTCAGACCAGTTCATATCTACATTCTAGGCCATAACTAAATAAATTAGAATATGCTAAAGTGCTACATCAACACTAACGTTCTTGGACAGTAGTAATGCACATCTCTCTTTCAAAAAAAAATTAAAAAAATAAAAACAGCAGCTATAGTTTCAAACATTGTCACATTATGTGAATATGCTTACATGTCACTTTGTTACAGTACTCAACAAAACACACGACAAAAAACCATACGGCGACAGTCAACAGACTCCAACAGAGTACAAAATGTAACTTTTCAAAAGTCGAGCATGATGGAAATAGACATTTGCAGAAAACACTGTCTTCAGAATTCACACTTGAAAGTTTCATTTAATCGTAACTTGCTGATGTCGATATTTATTTCCTCGGGTTTGTCACGCCTGTATGTTACTGTTCTTGTACAAACAGTAGGCAAAAACATCTTATCCTTGAAGGAGAAGATACAATTTTAATTAACAATTAGCTAACTTTTATATACAAGAAAAAGATTACTGAATAAGATGGCTCTGAAAGCAATTACCTTCTTCGTTGCAGATACTCTGTAATCGGCTGAAGATTTAACTTTATTGCTACTCCCCTGCAGAATTATCTGCCTGATGATAAGCACAACAAGCAACCCGATCAGAAAGGTAACTATAAAGATTATGGAAAAGACTCTAAAGTAGCTTCGTCCAGAGAAACATTCTGCAATAAAAGGAAAACACAAGTGTAAAGCCTAATGGAGGGAATAGGCATATCCTTCAAAACCAGGTATCACAGTGCCCCATAAATGTAACAAGAGCCTGACAAAAGTTAAGGGAAAATAACTTAAGGGAAAATAACCTAAGGGAAGCTAAGGGGAAAAGTTGCCCTGTGCAAGCTTTGAAAGTGGGGCATAGCATAAAAGCTAATTCTGATTGAGATCCACTGTAGAAAAAGGGTGAAACTATTAGTCCTTTGGTCTACAGAACTAAGACTCAAGCTTCAGTGTGTTGGCCACCATAAATTTGCTCTAAGCCAGTGGAGGATGAAGCGTTAGAGATGTAGAGGGCCAAGACAGTTTAATGTTCACAGGATCACAGGGCAGATCATCGGCAAAGTGCGAAAGAAAATGTGGTTTATTGAATTCTTGTGCAGTGCTTTCCTCACCAGGAGAGCTCTCTCTCAAAATAAGTTTTCTTTAATTGACTAAAGTTATGAGAAAAAGTATTCACAGTTAGTTTCCTCATATATGGATAACTGCAAGATAAAAAGACATACAAAAATGTGACAAAAGGTAACAGTTTACCTGCATTTTATTCAGTATGGACTGAATAAGTTTTACAAGATTTTATTTAAAAATTTATTCTTCCACAGCCCTCATAACTGTGCAGTTTTTTATACTTGAAAGGAATACTTAAACATTACTGAATATGAGGTAAGCATTCTACTTCATTCTTCCCCATTTCTGGTCATGTCAAATAATGTAAACATATCCAAAATAATAAAACATACAGATGCCATAACAGATTTTTATCAATATTTCTTTTAGCACTGCTCAGGAAGGATTCATTATTATTAGATGTGACTTCTCAAGGAGCTGGGAAATCTGATTTAGCAATGCTTGCCAATCACATTTCCTGTTATTATTTATCTTTTATTTTCCCTGAACCTAAGAGTGATTTTCTTCTTGCTGGATTTCTTTGTTATTGTAATAGTATGACACTTCTGATAGGCATTGTAACAGCCGTGAATTCAATTATTAATCCCAACAGAGTTTTAACTCTTATTAAAATTACTTAGAAAATGTTACATACCTGAAGTTTGGTCAATATAATGCAGCAGGTAAGCGCACGAGGTTGTGCACTGGTCAAGTTTTTCTTGAGATGCATTGTTAGAATGATGGCACTGAACACAATTCCTGTAAAATAGAAGTGTAATTAAAAACCTATGTATTTCTCTGCACTCCCCTTAAAGAGATTGTATCAATGGGCTGACGTATCGCTTGCACATAATGCTTTCCTGTTGTTAGTAAAAACATTGCGACATTTATTTATTTTTTTCTGAAATGTGATGCCTCTCTCAGCATTTTATCCCTGTGATGCTTCTCAGAACGAACTAGTCAGAAGCCATAAAGTAAAACATGTCTTTGGCTTTGAGCCACATTCATCTGGCCCCTGCTCCGCATTTTGTAATGCGAGTTTTTCAGGCGTTTAGCTCAAGGTTCAGTACCCCTTCTTCAGCTCTCAGCCTCCAGTTCAGATCTACTATCTCCTAATCCATCAACCTCATTGGGTTGCCTGCTGAAGGGCAGAGATAGGTGTAGGAAACAGAGCTTTGTTAATAATTTTTCAGATGCTATGTTAAGACAAAGCCATGTAAGTTCCCACTGCTGGGCAGTTCGAGGGTCGGCAGCACGGCAGGAGGCACCGCTGTCAGTCCCACCATCTTCACTGCATGGCTCTGCACAAGACTGACATCACAAGTGGTCCTGCAAAACCCCCGCTGAATTTTTAATGCAGCTATGCCATCTTCTAAATTTATCAAAGGCACAGATTTCACAGTGACTTTGAGCAAGCGCAAGCCAGCGAGCTAACTGCATTTTATCTAGTATAGACTTAGCAGTCATCTTTTCTGACATGGCCCAGTTTGGGTCTCCAGCACATTCAGCAGGTGAGTTATAGTTCTAGTGAATACAAATAAACAACAATTCTGGTTTGATCCCAACTCCCTTTCCAACAAAAGGCTGATCTCTCGCCCTCTCCACCACAGCGGGATGCAGAACACTACGTGTGCTGATGGGAGGGCACAGAAGGGCCATGTCCAAACCAGCACCCCTCAGCCTGCCACTGAGAGCTTGGTCTAGCTTCTCTCCAACTTGGGCTGTTTATTTCGACCTCCACACTGTCCCTTCCTTTACATGGCCAAGGAAAAACAACGTGCTTTAAAACCAGCATGACAAAGCCCAAGTGGTTTAAACCTGAGTAACAGAATGTTGTTGTCTGGGTAAGACCAGCTCTGCTCTGCTCACCACTGGCAGTGGTGATGCTCAGGTGCTGCTCTTGTTCCACACCTCCTTCTTCCAGCTGTGAAGAACACAGAGTGTGCAAACACAAACTGGGAGAATATTATTGGACTTGGTGGCATTCAAGAGTAGGATCTACTGTTCGTTTTTAAAAATCCAAATCTACGGACTTTATTTCCTACCCAGAATTTTTCATATCAAGAACCACCTTTTAATAAATGCTTGAAAAAACAGCACTGATAGGACACACCTCCTTGACTTCAGAAAACTGAAAATTGGGCACAAGATTAGTGAATACAGATGTGGACATGCAATTCTCTTAATTGCCATTGTGAGCGCCTTGGCTACATAGAGGAAAGTCTCAGGTATGAATTGCTTCAATGTCTTACAAATAGCTAAGAAATACAGCACACATCTAGTCAAGTCCAGCACAAGAAACGTACCAGTTTTCTTCACAGGCTTTGTTACAAGCAGGGCAATATTCACACAAACGGCCAAAGCTTCTTGGATCAGTGCACTCACACTTTCCACAGACACAGTTTCCTCTTCCACTGCAGATCTGTCCCTTTGAATCCAGGCAGTGCTTTGCCAATTGTAATGAGCACTGGCAACGGTCACCTTCCCAGCCAGCAAAACATTTGCATTTACCAGCTTCACATTCACCATTACCTGCAACACCAGATAGTCCTCAGTACATACACTTTTATGAGAACACAGAAAGTCAATTTTTGTACGCATATGCTTGTATTGTTGGTGCTTTACCTTAAACAGAGCTAATTTAGACCATGGCTTGCTAGTTAGTTTTTAAGCTAACAGCTTGGGCTGAAATTACCAGCATGATATGTACTTATGGTTGCTGTCTGTTTTGTTAAATTGTGCAAAAGCTGCTACCATGATGTCATCCTAAAACCTTTTACTAGAATTTTTCCCTCTTGACTTGGATCAAAGCAGTGGGGATTAAAAATTACACAATGATATGGGAAAAAGCCTTCAGGCAAACTAAACAAACTTCTCTTTAGCAAGAAAGCATTCAATTCAAATAAATAGCAAGATTCAGTGGAGGAAGGAGTATCAAGTTCCTGCACACATGACAGTTTTTTGTTTTTTTAATTTTCTTTTCAGAAGCACACATGATGGCACTGCTTTTCTAAAGGACAGGTGCCTGAGCTGGACAGGTGGGTAAGCTGTGCTTATGAACTGTAGGTTGTTTACTAAGAACTTAAAATGCACAGCCTCAAGGATTCAAAGGCCACCAGAAAACCTCTGGCGGCCTTTACAACTTTCCAGGCAAAGTTGTGGGAGCCTTAGAGTCAAATCCGTGTGTTTTCCATGTTGTAGCACATTAAGGCAGGTGTACAAGTGACATGTTGATAATGTTTAGCCTCATTTTTACAGTGTGTGAAAGCACTGCTAGGAAATATTGAAATAGAATCATAGAATGTTTGGGGTTGGAAGGGACCTCCAGAGATCATCCAGTCCAACCCCCTGCCAGAGCAGGATCCCCCAGGGCAGCCACACAGGAACGTGTCCAGGTGGGTTTGAAAGTCTCCAGAGCAGGAGACTCCACACCCTCTCCGGGCAGCCTGGGCCAGGGCTCCAGCACCCGCACAGTAAAGAAGTTTCTCCTCATGTTCTAACTTAAACCCATTATTTCTTGTTCTAATGCTGGGCACCACTGAGAAGAGATTGTCCGTTGGAGAGCTTATGAAGCACAAGGAGGTTTAGCAAATCTCACGAGGTCTCCTCAGCTATGCCTCAGCAGTAGCTAAGTTTCACACAGACTGCGATGGCTCTTCTTGTGCTCCAGGGTTCCACAGGGCAGCTGCAGGGAACCAGTCCCATCTGATGGACACGATCCCCTGAAAGGGAGTGAGGCCAAGGCACAGGCTGCCCCATTTTTTGCCCATGCTGGGCAAAACGGAGCAGGGAGAGGGATCATAGGAGCCATTAGAGCAAGGCTTGGCACTGGAAAGCATCCCATGAAGAGGCTCAGCTGTGGCCCTGGGTGGCGGTTACCTTGTGGTACCCAGGGGCAGGACCCCATCACGGGTGACAGACTCCAACACTTCGTAGACAAAGATGTCCCTGTCTGCACTGCCAGCCAAGGCACCGCACCTCAGGCTTTAGGAGTTTGTACATTTGAAAGGTCTGCTTACGGTTAAGAAGTAATAAATTTACAAAGTGAAAGAGAAGAAGAGTGAGAAGGTGAACTGTAAATCCTTGTGTTGAAATGAAGTATTTAAACAATTAAGTAGCATTATTTCTCTTCATTTCATGTAAAGTTCACATTCACCAGCAGAGCAAAACGAAAACTTTAGTAAAGTTCACAGTGTTACTCTCAATTTATCCAAGTGCGATCAAAAAAATTGGTCCCTCGAGTCACATATTGGTCAGTATAAAGGGAAATGAAAAGATGCAGGGCAGTAATATGGATTTTAAAATATTTAATTAGTTTTCAGGGGAAAAAAATCTCAGAGACACTGATTCAATCCCATTTTTCCTTAATAACATTAACTTATAGGTACACATTTTGTATTTTGCTCATATGTAATTTTCATTTGCATGCTTTCCTAAAAAACCATAAAGTAGGCTACAAAAAGAGTAAGAATTTCTAGAAACTCTCCCTGTTTATGTTATGCTCTCCTTTTTGGAGCAATTTTTTTGAACAGTGTTAACATATATCTCAGTATTTGAAATCAAGTCTCACTGTATGTCTCATAAGACTCATTTAGGGTATTAGAAAGTCAGAAGTGCATCTGGAAGTTATGATTTCTCCTAATCTCTTAGTATCTCATATTCTCATTATGCTCAAACATATTAACTTACTTTCTGGGACAATGTTACTGCTTTATTTATGATATCAGTATCCCTGGGTCTGAAGAAGTTTGAGATTTGAATCTTAACATAGCTAGGCTTAGAAAAAACTCAATAAACCCCCCCCAAAAGCAGTGCTGAAGCTCAGAAAACAGCGCATACCTCTGTTGTGAAGAAAGCCCAGAAACATGAATTCCTACCAGGCTGCTCAGGACATTTCACACTAATTCTGCACACATAATTCTTGTACTTGACAGCTTTATATCATCGCTTTTAGCTGCATCATGTACATTGGCTTCAGAAACCAAAACAAATTCAAAAAACCCCACAAATACAGACATAAACTTCGTCGCTTACCAGAACATAAGATCCCCTGGTGATATGGGCAGGAAAAATCATCCATTTCACAGTACTTGCCATACACCTTGCCTAGCTTGTTTTTGTAGCAGAAACATTTTCCATCTATGCAATTTCCTTGACCACTGCAGATGGGCTGGTCCCGGTGTTGCCTGCACCTCTCAGAAAGAAGCGTATCTCTGTTAGAGCTACAGTTATTGTTACTGCAATGGGACTCTTTGCCATCTGGAAAAGTCTCATCAGCCCATACTCTTTTGTGCCTTGCGCTGTCTCCGTACTGACAGGCACAGCTTTTCTGCACATTAACGATGGCGGTTTCATTGAAACCAATAGGCTTAAGTATTGCATATTTTCTTCCTCCAGTTGAATCACATCCTTTCATTGTAATTGATACATTGAAAAGTACCTGAGAAGAAATAAGGATAGATTTTCCATCATTATTATTTTCTAGAAATTGCTTAAAAATTGTAATACATAAATAAAGCAGAACCTTCTGTTGTATATGAACATGCACTAGGTAATGGTAACAAAATACATGGTGGCCATTTGTCAAATATGGTATATTAGTAATGTCAGACATCACAAATACAGTTAAAATCTTAAGAATAGAAGACTGATACCAGTCTACTTTTCATGTTAAGAAAGTACAGTTGCAAAAGACAAGTTTAATACAAGTTAAATGGTAATAAAATTACCACCATCATCTTCCTGTTACCATTTACATTCTGTTATATTACAGAAATATTCTGATGATAATTGGGATTAGACTGAGCACGACAATACACAAACAGAAACAGAAATACTCTTTATAAAAAGAACCTATAAAGAACGTTCTTGCCTCAGAAAAGGTCTGTGTGAACAGAAACCTCACAGGTTTTTTTGTATGGCTCTATCCACTCCTACTAAAACACAGATATGTCTCAGACCTTAGTAGCAGCTTATTTTTCCCAATTCCTACAATGGAGATGGAGCAGGAGAGTCTTGCAGCTGTTGCTGTTGTCCCGAGCACACCAAGTGCTGCTTCAGAGTGGACGCAGTACCCATCTCCTGGCCATGTCATGGCCACCATCACAATGCCCAGGTCCTCACACCAGCGGTGCCCGCTGCAGCAGCAGCCCCTCTGGCTTTCCAGAGTCCTGGCTCAGGACCCTGGACCACATTGGTGGTGACTGCCATAGAGGTTGCATCACTCACTACCAAAACTCTTTCACAGCTCTGACACATAATTCCACTGGAGAGCAATGCATCTCATGATTGGTTTTTTATGCTGGTTTTTTTTTGACTGGCAGGCTTCTGACGGGGTATTTCCACTTCAGCTATTTAGCCTGCTGATGGAAAACAACTCTTCCTCACCTCCTCACAGAGAAAATACAACCAAGACAGAAAGAAGCCCAAGAGCAGCAAATACCTTTAACTCTTTACCACCAAACCCCCAAAGATCTGCAAACTAAGAAAAAAACAAAACAGAGAAAACTGATTACAAGGTTGAAACTACCCGCAAAGACTAAGGCCATTCATTTCTCATCAGTGCCTCCCCCTCCTGCTGCGCCCCCACATGAGAGCAGCCGAGCCCTCGGGGACAATGGTGGCTTTGTGGTGAGCGGGGCCGAGGCTGCCTACAGGGACAACGGGAGAAGAATGCTGCGCAGAAACATGCCCTTAACGTCGTACCGAGGGGGCACACGGGCTTTGTCCTGCCCTTTGCTTTTCTTCTTCTTGTTTCTCAGAAGCACCACTATGCACATATAACCCTCCCGTCGCCCGCACGCTCCGTGCATGAGACTTTTCCCCTTCGGTTAAGGGGGAAAAGCCTGGCGATGTAGTAATTAATTAATTAATTCCCATGGCAGGTGCGCATCACGTGGGCAGGACAGGCTGCAGCTAGAGAACGTGCTTTTTATTCAACACAGAGTCCTGCTAGAAAGCATCATCTTCAGGTACACCACAGGAGCGGAGGAATGGCAGGGAGACGGGAGGGAAGGGAAAATCACATCTTGTGCACAAGTCATGAAATTTGATGGGTCTGAACACAGAAGCAGAAAAATTTAACATACTGAGACTAAATAATGACAACACCACGAACACTGACGCTCGCTAATAGCCAAAGTTCGTTTTGCAACCTGAAGAGGCCGTAGGATTCTTCCAGAATATAATACACTTTGTGTTTTGGTAAGAAAAGGAAGGAAGAAGGATTAGACAATGCAAGGAATGTGAGAATTAAGGAAAAGCATTTTGCCTGTAAACAAATACTGAAAGGAGGATTTACGGTTAAAGTAAATTAATCTCTTGAGGATGGCTCATTTTCAACAGAAATAGAGGTTTAGGACCACATGCAATCTTTTACAATCAACTCGCTTGGCTTTTTATTAAAAAGAAACAGATATAAATATTTTTCTTTTCATTAAACAGAACAAATTCCAGCCCTGTTCCTTATGACATGCACAGGGAACAACACTGGAGAAGAGATGAGTTAAGAAGAAAAACAGCAAATCTCCCTTAAACTGTAGAAGCTAATCAGCAGCAAGTCATGCAGACAAAATTCAGAAGAGGATAAAATACATCTAAATAATGTATTTAAAATTCACATATTTAATCTACGCACAGACACAAGTAAAACCACACCAGCTGAGACATATGTACATGTCAAGAAGGAAAGAACTCCTTGACCCTGCTCTCCAGAAATACAGACCTCTTCCTGGCAAGCTAAATTAATTACCCTACTAGTCCAAGCAATTAAATAAATATCTCAAAGGCACAGAGAAGTTGTTCTGGGAAGAAAATCACGTTCTCTACATTTGCCAGACATCTTCCCCCACATTTTCACCGTGCATGATGCTCCAGTCTTACAATCTGTTTCATTCAGTAGATGGCACCGATCCAAATAAGGATAAATCATTTTATTAATTTGATTTATAAAATAAACTAACTATCCACAATCCTGATTGTGCATGAAGACTACTAGAAAAAGGAGAGGGAAAGGTAGTGTCTAGTATAGACCCAAGGAACACAAATTCCAGTGATTCTTTTCCACAGGCTGATTATCTTTCAACCTCTTTATATACAGATTTCATCACAATGAACACGGCCATTGTGCCCAGTGAATGACAAAGAAGGAGAGTTCTAACGGACGTTAGCTTTCAGGAAAAGCTCTGAGCCTTAGTTCCACAAGATTAGTGAGAATTAAAATAAGATTCAGAAAAAATAAAACCAGAGAATAATAGAGAGTCTGTGATCATTAATCACATAAATCCATTTTCAGTTTAAGTAAATCCCTAGAAGATTTCACACCATTGAAACCCAAGCAAACAGAAAAATAAGTATTCCAGTTCTTTGAAGAATAAGAAATATCAACATACTTCTTCATTATATCCCACATTTTTACATCCTTCCATGCCAGTTTTTTTACTTCCATCAGGACAGATTGCAGTGATATTGAAATGAAGACCTTGGATCTGGTTATCCACTTGAATTTTCACTTCAGAGATTAGTTTCTGTAACCAGAAAACAAGTTTTAGTTGTGTTGCATCTCAACATACAACGTGTGTTACTGAGTAACACCAAGTACGGCTACTATGTCTGACGAAAAACGAAGAAAGCTGGTCTGTGTGAATAAAGGAATGAATTAAAGCATTGTTTCCCATATAAAGACCTGATTACATTCCAAATATACACAACCAGTGAACTGGTAATTCTGATAAAGAGGATTACGTTTTCCAGATAAAAACGTTCTCAGCTTTTCTAAAATGGTTTTGAGACTGTATTTTTCGCAATTTGAAAATCATTCTAACAACCGTGCATGACAAAAAACACTTATTGTTTGAGAGACTACACCGCCTTTTAGCCACACATTTAAAACAAAACAGTAAACATACATACAACTATTGTTATCCAGCAGAAAAGGTTTCTTAATTGACACTTTATAAACTTCTGCTATTTTGCATCTGCCTTGGAAAAGTTTTCTTTGAACAAATCTTAAGGTGATCTAAAGGCTATTGGGATTATTCTCACTGATTTATTTATTGGTAAGCTAGGACTGCACAAGTCAATAACTGTTTGATTCCCATTAGGGTTTTTTCAAGTATAAAATAATAAAAAAGCCAGCTACTTTGTAACTTGTATTTACTGCACACTCTAAAATCCTACTTCCTTCCAAGAAGGAATATTGCTTCTTGACCTTTTAAAAATGTATTAAAGCTCTGCACAAACCTATGACCTGAAAAGTGCATGAAGAGATTATTAAAATTCCTGGCATATTACTATTAAAAAAATAGGTTAGTGGGATATTTTTACTCCTACAAATGGAAGTGCCATTATATGAATTTGAATACATGTTTATCTTAGTAACTTTCTGAAAGTTGGTGACTCATCTTTGGCTTTTTAGCCAGGGATTTTCAGCTAGGGTTTTCCATAACTAAGCCTCAGGTTTCCCTGCCTAGAACAAGAGTGCAATAGGCCCACTGTCATCGAACATCAACACTAAATTTATTTTCTTATCTCAGTACTTTTGCTTTCAAGAAAGTAAAACACTCAAGCTTTGTTCACTGTGTGTTTGCATGTTACAAGCCTCTAAAGCTATGATAAAAATCTCAAAGTATCAAATCCAGCAAAGTTTAGGATGGGAAGAAGATGCTGTCTAAAAAATGAAAATAAGGCAAGAGCAAACTGGGCGTGGCTGGAGCAGGAAAGTCCCACAGAATCTTCCACTGAATTAAATAATTACTTCGTGAATTTTCGTTTCCTCTCCTTGAATGTTTGCCCTGCACTGTCCTCTAAAAACCAGGATAGAGTTTAGCATGGACAATGGAAAAGTGGCATACAAAGGGACCACGATCTTCAACATTTTTTGTTAGCAATTTCCTGCAAGTTTCCATAATTAAAATGGGACTTCTTGATTTTGTAAGAGAAATACAATAACAGTGAGAACTTCTCTGCAATGTGACTACACCTAACCTCCTCTGCTTTTGAGCGTTGTCCTCTTCTGTACAATGTTTCCAACATGGCAGTAAGAAAAACGTGCAGAAACCCCCACTACTGACTACAAACAGACGTGGGGCTTGGCCCTTCATTGCAGCCAATTTGTTAAAAGCAAATAGCCTGATTTAGATGTTTAACCTAGTACAATGGATAATTTCAGCCTCCCATTCCAACTAATTAAAAATAACGTGATATCTTGCATATGGCTTTGTAACTACTTTTTTTTAAACTTTTGTAACTTGCATGTTTGTGTAACTTGCACACCTTAACAGTATTCAACCATCTAACCCATCATGTTCATTTTGATGCTGCTCTATGGGCTCCCTGTGCTCTAGGACATCAAATCTATGCTACCTGGTTTAATTTTCAAAGCTGTTTGTGCCCCCTCTTACAAGGCTACCTTTCATTCATTATCAAGATGCCAATATTCACCTTCAAGCTGCCATTCCCTGTCCATCATTTGTGAAAAATGACTTTATGCTCTTTCCCATACTATTAATTTCTCTTTCCCGTAATATTACTTTCAGCTGAGAACTCCGTGTGAGAGTTCACAAAGCCATTTTCATTGTTCTCTCCCAAATCCCTACAGAAACTCTTCTTCACTGCCATGCCTCAAAATCCCAAGTCATTACACTGCTTTGCGCAGTATAAACCCTGCTTTTCACAATATCCACTGTTGTTAAACTACCTTGTAAAATCTCATCTGTTGTCAATTTTCTAAGAATTATGCTGCAAAACCCTCCAGATACTTCACTACCTTTTTGCTCTGAATTTAAATGGTGCCTAGACAGTGGTGCCTGGTCTTTTAACTAAAGATCTGAGACGCCAAAATTCAAATTAGTTAGACATTTCTTTTGAAGTTACATGGTAAAAGGCACAGAGACTCAAGGAGCACATTTAGGAGCACCCTTAGAAAAGAAAAGCTGCTAGATTCTGGCTTTGAGACCCTGACAACGTGACAATTTGAGAGCCACCACAGGATAGTGTCACCCACCAATCTGGACATTCAGAGAAGTAGGGAACTTATCTTTGCGGACTTCAGATAGGAGCCAAGATCTGCGAAATTCCAACTTTAGGCTATGAAAGGTAAAAAATCCCTGTACAAATAAGGCATAAAACATCGTCCCTCTGAACATACCTGATAGGCTTCTACCACCAAATCATTGAGATTTGCTGCTTGTGATTCTATCTGTCTTGCAACAGTACCAGGCAACAGAGGTAACAGATCCTATGAAAAATAGAGTCATTTATCCACAGTTTTAATGTTTAACAGAAATATTGTGCTTTCAAAACTGGAAAAAGAAATCGGGTTTCTAACCTACTTTATACCAATGGAACTGGCTTCCTTGAACTGCAAAAATAACATTGATGTTATTGTCAATCAATTTTTCAGAGAGCTGCCCAAGAGATGGATGTTCCTGCAAAATACAACAGAAAAGAGAAGACTGCAGATTAGTAGAGAAAAAGCTTATATTTCACATCTGACACAAAACAAGATTCTAAAATCACCCCAATCCTTATTTCTAAATGTATAGAGAAATGCTACACCAACATCTGAAAGAAGGTGGGACCAACCAAATAAACAGATCGTGACAACAGAAGTCATCAGGGCATCAGCCAGCCTGTGACAGGCTTATCTGTGGCCATCTATGCAGGGGTGCTGCACAGTGGGAGGACAAATTCATACAGTACTATTTTGTTTGTGTTTTTTTTTCCTGATGCTTAAGAAATACGGATATGATGCTGTTCATGGTCCATCTAGAAGAATAACAAGATTCCTGAGAATGAAAGGTGGGTTCTTGTGCAGAAGTCAGGAAGAAAATACAGCATGGGGGTACTGAGATGAGGAATGCTTTTCAGAACATCAAAGGAGTAATGAAAAGTTTGTTTCTCAGAAATGCATTGTGGCACTAGGCATTGGACACATCAGCTAAGCACAGCCATTGAATGACACTCTATAAGAGTCCGTGTTCTGCACATTTCTTACCTACAGCTGAGAGCTTTCTCCTGCTCTGCATGTCCAAGCCCTGCCTTAGAAGCAACGCCTCCAGTCCTCACCACAACGACCTCTTACCTTTTCTTAACCACACTTGTGCTTGAAGAAGGTAACACAAGTTTCATGCATCTCTCAGGAGTGACATTGCTCTCTTTGGTGAAGCACCTATGTTGACATGTCCTGTGTCAGCGACTTCCTTGAGAGCACTTGCAAGTGCTCTCTAACCGGGACACCTGCCCTTCTACAATTCCCATTGAGAGATGTGACACAGATTTGAGAAGAAGAGGTGTGTTGCTATCTCTTCACCCCAGACCTGGGGAAGCACAAGGTGTCTGTGGTCCCAGTGAGCTTTGTACACCTGCGCTATGTGAGATCACTCCAGCTCCAGTACTCTAAAACAAACTGTATCTGAAAGTTACTGCTTACTTACCATACACCTGTGAATACTTCTCAAGAACTAAATTCAACACTTAAAATTCCTAACCAAACATGGAGAAGCAGCTGGGGTCTTGGCTTGTGTTTCCCCTCACAGAGATTTCATTGGGACACCTCTACTTATGTCAGGTTTTTCAACCTTTTTCTCCCATATACTTCTGCTGTCTTTCTGATATTGTTCACCATCTGCCCCACCTTGTCTCCCTCTTGTACAAACACACTGTGTTTCCCTGCACAATTAATTTCTCCTCAGACTGCTACTTGTCACTCAAGGCACCCTGCAGGTCAACTACTCTCCTAACAGTAATCTGAATGCCAAGACAGCTGAGACAAAGCTATGCAAGGGAACAAAATCCATTCTACTCCATATTGCACCATTATAAAGAGCCTTGTATAAAAAGAACAAAGGAGTTTCTTGCCGCAGTTTGATCTTAGCCAGGGTCAACGCCTCTCTCACCTCTTCTACCCTTTGGTAAGAGTTTATATCCCTTATGATAAGTGATGAAAGGCAGGTAACACAGCAATAAATGGGCCTTCTTACAGCTCCAGCTGCAGAGTGTGCCATATGTGAGGGTCCAGTGACCATGGATTCCCACTACACAGCATTGGTGGGTGAACTGCAGCAGCAGTGGCTTTGTTGCCATTTTCAGGAGCCTTCCATAACCACAGAGCACAGTGGCGGGACCTCCACTGTGCTGCACAACCCTACAGGCCCCATGCAACTGGCTGGCAGATCACAGGTCCGAGCACACAGGGGAGTGAAGCCAGATGTTCTGCAAACACCTCCCGCACTGTAAATGTGTGAATCACAAGGGCAGTATGGAGAGGTTGTGAGATGATGGTCAAATAAGTCAGTCTTCCTGCTTAACACGTGATATTAGACACATCAGAATTCCAGGGGAGTGGAAAACCACTGCAACTCATAGTAGAACTCTGGGATCAGTGGTATCACAACAGGCTTCTGGGCCTCATGAAAAAAAGTGATTCTGAAGGAGCTTACTGAAGTCAAGAGATGACCCGCACAGATGTGCGAGAGTTGCAGGGGCTGGATCCCCAAGCTGCCTAGTCTGCTTGCAGGAAAAGCTGAACTCTCATCTACTTGTCAGCTCTATCTCACTAGTGTCCAGCTTGGTTAGTAGTACATTCAAGTCTCACTTCAGATTAGAAAGATTTTTTTTTCTTTTTATAAGAAGGTTGTGTAAGAAAAGAACCATTGCAGACTCACTCTGTTTTTTGGCTTTAGCATGTAAAGAGGTGACATAAGGAACTGCTGGTCACTCATGGAGCCCGACTTTACTTGCCATGAAAATCTTGCAGTACTTGATGTATTTTTACACTATCTCTTCCCACTGCTACTCAGGCAAATGTACTTGCATTTGAGATCATCTTTCTTCCCCCAATTACATCATTCATTTTATTATTTTAACCTGCTGTGTTAAGCTAAAAAGATAACTAACAGAGTTGTTAAGTATTTCAGAAAGGGAGTTAACCAAGCACAGATCTAATTAAAATGGACTAGATTCTTTTCCTGTCTTAACGCTTTTTCACTGACCTCTGCATGACTGCTTAGCAAAAGTTAGAAGGAACAAGGCAGGAAAGTGACTAACTGGAAATATTTCTGATGTGGAGGCTAAGCTTACAAAAATAAATAAAGCACAGACCTCTTAACTGGCACAAGGAGGAAATAAAAATATGCCAAATTGTAATCTTTTCAAGAGTATCAGAAGCTAAGAGTCAAAGTAGGAAATTAATGTGATTGCAGATGGCTCTCTAATTTAGTGTAGCACAAAAAAAATTGCATTGACAAGGAAAAAAAAGCAAAACCACATTTCATACGATTTATTTTTTAAAAAGTTGACAGCCTTTCATGACATTTCACTTAAACATAAAATAGTCCTTTTTTCTACCCGTGATTTTAGTTATTCATATGGATCTCTATGACTAAAATAATCACATACACCACTGAGAAGACAAAAAGCAGGAAATCTGTATACTCACCTTTACAGTCAGTCTTATGTTATCATGCCAGATCTACTTGAGAAAATAACTAATACTCAGACAGGTTTCTATTCTATCCCTTTTCTATTACCAGGGGCATATCCATTGTTTTATGTGGGCATGCAGGAATTAGCCCTCAATTGAAAAAAGTAAAAAAAAAAGGGCTAGCAGCCAGAAAACACATGGGCCAGAACAAGACACCATGGATCTATGCATCTTTCAGGGTTATTTCATCTGGGTGGTAAAAAGTCATTTCATAAAAGGCATCGAGAGCAATAATCATGGATATTTCTTATTCTGTATGGGACAGTAAATTCATGACCTCTCAGACCAGAATCCAGAATATCGGTTAAAGCATTTTCTTTAGTCAACCACCAATCTACCATAGTTGTTTAGAAACGGATTCATTAACTGTATCTGTATTTTATAATGGTGAGGTTTTCCAGCTGCAATAGAAGTTAATTTCTCAAATTTGACAGAAAAATACAGGGGTTTTGTTTTGTTTGTTGGTGTGGTTTTTTTTTTCTGAAACAGCCAGTATCTTTATTACCAAAGGAATCCTGAACAGCAGAAACATATTTGTACCTTCAGCAATTGTTTAATAAGCAGAGCAAAGCTCCTCTCGTTTATAGCACTGCAACTAGGGAAGAAAAATAGAGATAGGGACACCACAACCTCTAAGTATACCTTGCTTTGGGAAAAGAAAGTTTCAGGATTATTTGCTTTAAGTAGAATAAAGGAAGGGGTAGTTTTAATCCCAGGGACACCGTAGAAATACTGAAACTGAACAAACCAGCTAGAGGAAAATAAATAACCCTGATATCTGCGAGGGAATATCCAAGAGGTGAAAGAGGGAGTATACGAATGTAAGAACATCAGATAATCGGAAATCCAAACAACCTTCCTGTTAGCACACGCTCAGCTCCCTCCTCCGCTCGGCAAGGTCCCGAACACCCACCGATTCCCAGAAACCTCCCATATTTCACCATCACACACTGTATGGCGGCAACTCCTGCTGCCCCACCATCCTTGTAAACACCAGTGGTTGGGATTAAATTCAGATCTAGCCTATCTGACACGTAGCCTTCCCTGGCTTCACTAGCACATTGCTGGCTTGGGCTGAACACAGGCTACATATTGAAGTGCTGGTAGCACTGAGAAGAAAACTGCTGTGTGCTCCAATGACAACACAGTTCATATTTCTGTTTTCTGGCAATTACATGGCAATTAAGTAGTGATTCATGTTTCTTAAATAAATGATTCATATTTAATTAAGGAAATAGCCAAAGCAATTAAAAACCCCACAAACCTTAGAAGAAAAATGCCTGTCTTTAATCACTCGTGACTACTTTATACATTCCTACAAAATTATTTTGAAATCTAAAAATATCTGCTGAAGGAGTACTATTTTGCAACAGTAGATCTGATGCAACTCCTTGCACAGGTATGTATTGCCACGCATGGTTTGATGCTGTGAGACTCAAATGTATTTAACACTGCCTTACCACAGCAAAGTTTTGCAGCACAGGAATATTTTCTAGTCCGGCACGGTCGAATTAGCTCCTCACTGTTGTGCGTCTTCTGTTTTACTCTAGTAAGCCTTTTTGATCAATGCAACTGTGCATCTTCTGACCATAAAGCACGACCATTACCTTTGTCTCGTTAGAGGATCATGCACTAAGAATTGCTCATCATTACAAAATGGTAAGAAAAAAACCCATCAAACCCAGTAATATTCTCCTCTGCTGTGTCTCAGACTCCAAAATACTTCTCCTAAACAAAACCAATGCCATTATTTCCAGGTGACTGGTTCCTGATTTCACAACTTGTCTACCTGGAAAAATACTATTCTAGTACCTGAAATAAAAGCAATGATTTGACAGCGATCTGAAAACCTCCTTTATGCAGTTTTACTCTGCTTCTCTGAAGGCAGAATCTATGACATATACCTTACCATACTCGTAGCTTTGATGTACACATTATCTTTCAAATGACAGTTTCCATCATGGGGAATTACAATCCCTGCTAATTTACTGTCAAGGGCCAGATGGGAAGTTTGATCTGTCATCACCAGAAGCAGTCGCTTTGCTTCTTTACGCCATCCAATATGGCTCTAAAAAGAAAACAAAATTAAGCATAAGTAAGCAGTAACTGCTTATTTTCTAAAATAATAAATAAAAAAATCAAAAATTAATGTGAAATTCTACTTTCAGATATTACACTGCTTAGAGGCAGTGAGTTTAAACCAGGTTATTTAAAGTACTTTGTGTGGAAATATTTATCATGTCCTACATCTGAAAACTACCCCTGCGAGTCAGAGAACTACTTACCACTTTCTTTGCGTTTTAAAGAAGGATTTCTCAAAATATATACAAATTATGCATTATATAGTGGTCTTGGGTAATACCTGCCTTGTCGTGTCAGTGTTACATACAAATGCAAATTCATTGCATTTGCAAAATTCTCTGGGATCCAAAAAGCATTAGAACCAATAAATATGCATTCATTTGTATTGGTACTTCGTGCCCTCTTCTCCTATTTTTACTTTGTATTTATTTACTTTATATTCTCATCATTCTGTAATTTCCTTCACCTACACAGTTTTCCAAAAAGAACACTGGCATCTGATCAACAAATCAATAAACTGAAATTCAAGTGTCTTCAAGCATCTGCAAACTGAGAAATTCCTAATTATACAGCAAAATACTAACTCTAGACACCATCTAAAGGGATTAATAGCAAAGTGGCATCCACAAGACTGAATTTAATGTGCTTTAGGAATTGAGTGATGTGAAGGAGGTAGCCGGGCAAGCTGGTATCTAAACTGGATTAGGTGCCAATTTGTATTTCTGTAACATTTATTTCCCTGCAAGGAATAAACAGCTGCTTTAAATCAAACTTCAGATGCACACATGAATCATCTCATGTTTTTTTTTCATTATTCCCACGCCCAATTATTAATTATTCCATCTTCTCCTTCACTAATTCCATTCTTCCTCATGTTTCCTCCTTCCTTGCTATCCCTTCCTACACCACTGTCTCATCTCTGTGATTTCCTTTAACACCGCCAGGTATCTTTCATCTCATGTGAAACGTGTATCTGCAATACAGTTAATACACTCAGCCAGGCTTCAGGACTTAATTCTCTGCCTTCTTTTCTTTGCTCTGCAAAGATGCATTTAGCTCCCTTCTCAGGCTCATTCCCTACTAGCTCTGAATGGGGATTAAGTATTTCATAATAGTAGGAATAATTTGGACAGAGGGGTGTGGTGTCTTTTCCAGCTTACACATTAGGCATCTATCTCCCTCAGACAATCCTGGACAGCATTCCCCTAAAGAAGGGGTATTTCAAGTTTTATTTATAAACAGGGTATATCTTAAATAATTCAAATTTTTCCTCTAGCACCATAGAAATTTCTTGCTCCTAGGAGTCTACCGTTTCACTTTGTTACCTCCTGCCTACATACATCAGAGCAACTAAAACTTTAAAGGAGCTTCGTGCCCTAACCTGCTACCTCTTGCAACAGGGATGTACTGGTTAAAGCAAGATGGAGCAAGCTATAAAGTTCTACTGCAGGCACAATGAGTGCACTTGAATATAAATTATGGTCGATATGAATTGCACATTGTTCTCATCCATTTTGGTTCACAATTCAGTTAGCAGGAAAGCCTCTTCATGCTCATGAATGTTTCCATTCTATTGTCTTTGGAAGCATATATTATTCTAGAGCTCACATGTCACAAATGTGGAATGTGTCCAATGAGAAACACTGAATTTTAAGGAATTTTTCCAAATAATTTTTCATAACAGCTGTGATCAGTGTCTATGAAGAGTGGCTTTTATATATCTGTTACAGAGCTCATCAAAACTTAAAAATAAAATTAGATCAAACTATTAACTTTTAGCATAGTTGGGATTACTTTTTGTCCTTGACTCATTCTACTGCTCAAGAAAAAAAAAAAGAAAGTGAAGATGGACAAGATAAAAGACTTGTCCTGACATCATGCCAATAGATGAGAAACCAAGCCTGTGATTTGGACAGGAGTTGAATTACTTTCTTATAGAGCATCAGCAAAGCCATCAATGAGCCAACTTCCAAAACTTCTGTTGCAGTACTATGCATAGAAGAAACACAAGATGCAAAATAGCCCTTCAGAGCAAACAAATTCTTAGTATTTAATATGCTTACAGCTTGGGAACTACTGATAAAAATCTTTTCCAACCTTTTCTGCATGGGAGAGATGTTGATGAAATTTTATCAATATACAAAAGTTAATTTTTAGTCGATTTGTATTGCTTTTAAATATAAATTCTTTAAAACTGAGATAACATTGAAGTGCATTTATTTTCCGTATCTCCATGAGCAAATATGTAACTGATCGTTCAGTTTTCAAACACATTCTTAAGTAGGAGAAATGTCAAATGGTGTGTCTTCACTTAGGAACACAAGGAGGGCTTTAATAATTTTTGCAACTAACTTTGTAATTGATTGAAATTAATATAAGTCTCTGTTCCAGCAGGAAGTTGCTTTCATCATCCATCCTATGTCAGTTAAAGCCAGAAGTTGAAGAACAGCATTAACCAATACTGAAAAATATTTCCTTATACTCTCCTTTTTCAGTTTCAATGGGAAACAGTGGAAAAGGAAGAACCGACATTTTGAATTCAGGAACACTGAGCACTGATGCACCTATACATATGTATCCCAGTGTCTGAACTACCATTTATTCTTTTGTTAATAAGCTCCTTACCTGGCACACAGCTGCTTGCAGCATCGCATCAAAACCCCCTTCAGGTGTATCAATATTCCCAGAAATTTTTTGTTTATTGACTGCATTTCTGAATTCTGCTATATTGTCAGTCAGGGATAGCACGTGAATATAACCGTGAGGAGGCATACAATCTAAATTATAATCACTGTAGGAAAAAAAGGAACAAAAGTCTAACACTTTCCATATTTTCCATTTGAAGGAGATACAGAATCATAGAATCATAGAATCATAGAACAATTCAGGTTGGAAAAAACCCTTGGAATCATCGAGTCCAACCATTAACCCTCTAACCCGTAAGATCCTGTTACAAATGAAGATGTATATATGCACAGTAAAAGAAATGAGAATAACTCCACATGAGATTAAGTTCAGTGTGATTTAGTTCTAACTTACTATGAAATATCTTTTTTCTTAATTTTATGGAAATGTATATAACTTAATAAAAATACATACGTAGTGTTTCTTTACAGAATGTGTGTGGGTGATGGTGTGATCTCAGATGGTGTATGAGCCCTTTTTGGAACATCTGTGCAATGGTTATCATTATCCCGAGAAAGGGCTCTCACTCCACTACATTAAGATCCTTTAATAGCTCAATACACAGGCTACTGGACCAAAATAAAAATGAAGCTCCTACATCCACTAGCAGTAAATTAATGTGCATAAAATTAATACTGAGATTAGTGACAGTTATTGTGACCTCATTAAAGGGATGGGAAACACCATTTTCAGTAACATCTTGGTTGTAAATGATACTTTTTCAAATCACAGGTAAGGGAGAAAGTATGAAGTTTGATGTGTGTATGCTAAAGACACAGCACTCGTACAGGTGGTTGCTCTGCAACCCATTTCTTTCAGTGGAATTTAGAGCACAAGCTGAAGGGCTCACCTGATTCAGAGCTCCTGACCAGGTTTCAGCTCAGTTTCTGTTGCATACAGTGTAAGCATCCAGACATTAGCCTGCCCGCCCCAACTCTATTTGCAGTCAATGAAGAGAAACTGGCAGTGCAAGGATTAATATCTCTGCTGATGTCTACTTTCAGGCCAAATGAATCATGTCCTAGAAGTGCTAATTGCAGTCTAGATGACTGCTTTATACATAGATACTTACATCTGTCTAATGAATTCCACTACTAGTGTCCAATTCAAAACCCAGTGAAATAAAAAAAAAGATACTGATAGACTTCACAGAACTTTGGCTCATGTCTTCCCAGGATCAGTTAAAATTCACTTTTCCAAGTATTGTGGTTTATATAGATTTGAATTTGTTGTGCATAACCTTGTTTTCCAGAGGGTTTTGGAAGTGATCCCTCAGTTTACATAAGTGTTCAATGCAAAGTATAAAAAATATGGCATGAAAAAAGAAAGGCAAGCCAGAACATCATTCTTATTTAAAATAGGGAGTTCACTCATATAACCAACTGTGGAATTAGATCAGAGGATCACTTTTGTTCACTGAGTGAGTTGAAAGGAACTGCGTAACATTGACAAAAGTACAGTTTTAAGAAAAGAGTTAATGAAAAGAAGACCATACACCAGAAGAGAAATCCTAGATCAGAAAGAATGAAACTTTGTAATGAATCTAGGCAATATATATCCAAAATAACTAAGAACACAACAGTGGACTATAAAATTAAGTGCAAACCATATTCAAACACACCAAACCAGCATGCTGTTTGGCTTGTTCTGCTAAAGAAGATACATCACATTTTTTCTGATACAGAAACAGTTTTCTCTGAAATCGCTCACCATATAAGTCAGAAGTAATCATTGTCTAATAATTTTTTATTTTTAATAATTTTTTTTAA